TGGTATTTTCAGTTGCCTAATATGCATACTTGGAAGCAAGCTGGGCAACCTACTTTCATAGTGATACTGCCTCGGAAACCCAAGGAGGGGTCTCTATGAGTCAGGGCCGACTGGATGGCACATAACAACAACAATAATATGCATGCGAAAGCTGGACAATGAATAGCATTTGACTGCTAATCAGAAAGCTGGCAGTTCAAGCCCACCAGCCACTGCTCAGAAGGACGATTCGGCAATCTATTTCCATAGTGATACTGCCTCGGAAACCCAAAGAGACGGATCTGACTCAATGGCAGTGAGTTTTGAGTTAAAGAAGAATTGATGCCTTTGAATTGTGGTATTGGTGGATGTTTTGGTTACCTAGTGCCACTCCAACAGAAGATACCACAAATGAGATGGCTTGAACAAACAGAAGTTTATTCTCTTACAATTGTGGAGGTTTAAGTCTGATTTCAAAGTGCCAGGCTCTAGGGGCTGGGTAAAGCCCCTCAACCTTGGCTTTGGCTCTGCCTCCAGCTCCCAGCCCACTGAAGCTAGAGGCTTTTCTTCACTCAGACAGCTACTGGCTGCTGAAGCTGACTAACCCAAGGTTGTCAAGTAAAAAGGCACAGTCCCAATGTTACCAAACAACATGGCAAGCCACTAATTCAAGTCCAGATGAAATACCATGATTGGCAGGGCACGGCAAGCTGCTGAACAACAACTTTGATGCCTGCAGGGTTCAAGTGTCCCATAAGGCAAGAGACCAATCCCAAAGCTTCTCCTTATATATGGGAAGCACACCACATCCCTAAAGTAGCTATTCAGCTGCTTGTGGTAGATCCCACCATGGAGTTGACTGCCAGTCTCATCATGGGGAATAACTACCTCCAGCTGCCCAGCCACTCAACCAGGCCCAGCAAAGTTGACAATAACCTTAGCTACCATAGTGGAGAATACTGAAAGTACCATGGACTGCCAGAAAAAATGAACAAATCTGTCCTGGAAATATAGCCAGAATACTCCTGAGAAGTGAGAATGGCCAGACTTCATCTCACCTACTTTGGTCAGCTGTCAGATGGCACCAGTCCTTGGAGAAGGATATCATGCTTGGTAAAGTGGAGGCTCAGAGAAAAAAGGGGAAGACCTTCAACGAGATGGACTGACATGGTGGCTGCAACAATGGGCTCAAGCATAGCAAGGATTGTGAGGATAGCACAGGACTGTGCAGTGTTTCATTCTGTTGTATACAGCATCACTCTAAGGTGTATCAACCTGATGGTACCTAACAAGAAGAAGATGGGTTCTTCCACCAGCAAGACATTTGAAAATTTAATAAACCACAAATTTGGTGGCTTTGTTGCTTTCTACCTAGAAGGCCCTGAAATACAACAGAAACAGAATCACATAATATAATGCATCCTAAATATTATGCCATATTTTGCTCAACAGGTAAATCAAAGGAAGAAAAATAAGTATTAGAATAGGGTCATCTGTTTATAGCAATGAAGGAACTAGCCACAAGATGTCCTCATAAACTAATACCACACATCAAAAAGGAAAATGGTGTCAAATTTTATTCTGGCATGCACATAAGACATATAGCATGCATTGACAATATGAAGATGCATGACATCTAATCTTTGCTCTTAGGAGGCTCTCAGTCAAAAGGAAGAATCAAATATACCAACTACTATAATAAAGGGAAGCACAGGGAAGTGCTGCAAATAGGATAGAGACCTGAAGTAAGAATAAAAAAACAGTTGCTGTAGAGTCGATACATGGCAATCCCACATGTGTCAAAGTAGGGCAGTGCTCCACAGTGTTTTTCTAGGAACTGATTTTTTGGAAGTAGGTCACCAGGCCTTTCTTCCCAGGTGCCTCTGGATGGAGTCAAACTTCCAACCTTTCAGTTAGCAGTTGAGTGTGTTACCTGTTTGTACCACCAGGGCATCCTGAACTAAGGATTACTAACTTAAAAGTATGTTTTTTAGGGAAGAGACATTAGAAAAGGCTTCCTGGAGAATGACACCTGAGTCTTGAAGGACAGACAGAAATTAGCCAAATGAAGATGGGGAAAAAAGCCAGGCAGTTTAGGAAACAGATATTACCATGAGAGCCAAATAGAGACAAGGTTGCTTACTTTGGTTTTAAGTCACTGCGTGTTTAATAGAAGTCAGTTCTTCAAATTCTATTTGATTATCTCATTTTGGCTAGCATGACAGAGGTAAAATAAATATCAATGTTGGATTTTTCACCACAAAATACGGTTGTGGTTTTTAATTCCTCCCAACTAGAAAGACCAAAAGTCATGCTAATACAGAAGACTAGAATAAAGATAGGTAACATTACAATAGAGATAATTTTGTATTGGTTAACCTGGTGTGGCAAGAAAAGTGTTTTCTGTGTTGCCAATTCTTGCCTACCTAGGTCAAATAAAACAGGTCAATGAGTGGCAGTTTCTGTAGGGTAGTGGTCAGCACATTCACTTTATGTGCAAAAGGTCCCTGGTTTGCAACCCAGCAAAAACACGTTCTTTAGGAGCCCTGTTGGTGCAGTGGTTAAGAGACTGACTGCTATCTGAAAGATAAGTAGTTTAAACCCAACAGGTGGTCCATGGGAAAAGATTTGGCAGTCTGCTTCCTTAAAGATTAAAAAAAAAAAAAAAAATTCCTACAATTGATGCCAACTCATAGTTACCCTATAGGACAGAGTAGAATTGCCCCACATGGTTTCCAAGGCTATAAATCTTTAAGGAAACAGACTGCCTCATCTTTCTCCCTGAAACAGCTGCTGAGTTTGAACCTCTGACCTTTTAGTTACCAGCCAAGCACTTTAACCACTTCATCACTAGGGATCCTTTGCCTACCTCTGTGGCACTTAATCTCCTGGCATTTCCAAATGAATCCACCTCTAGGCCTGGCTAGTGCTGATCTCTGAAATGCATCCCTTCTTCCTCCAAGAGTTAATGTGTACTTCTTCAGGACTCAGTTAAAAATCCCTTTCTGACACTTACCAACCCACACTAGAGAAACGACTCTCCTCCCTCCATTCCACAACTCTACCTAGCACTTGGCTTTCATACCTCCCTGCAATTGTTTACCTTCTATCTAATGTTCTAGACTGGGAGCTCTGGTAGCGTAGTGCCTAAGGCACTTGACTGCTAACCAGAAGGCTGGCGGTTCAAACCCACCAGCCACTCCTCAGAAGGAAGATGAGGCAATCTACTTCCGTAGTGATACTGCCTCGGAAACCCAAGGAGGGGTCACTATGAGTCGGGTGCGACTCGAGGGTACATAACAACAATGTTCTAGACGTATGCCTGGAACCGATCTCCTAGTTTTTCTCCGGAGCACAACAGACACTTGCCTGTTTAAGGATCTAACTCAAGACCGTTTCCAGCTCTGTTGGTGCCCAATTTATTTGACTCACAGCGACCCCATGTGACAGTAGAACTGTCCCTTGGGCTGTAATCTTTACGGGGGACAAATTGCCAGGTCTTCTCCCAAGAAACCAACTGGAGTTTTCCAATTGCCACTCTCTTACTTGTTGTTGTTATGTGCCGTCGAGTCGGCCCCGACTCATAGCGACCCCTCCTTGGGTTTCCGAGGCAGTATCACTACGGAAGTAGGATTGCC